GCGGCCCACCCGAATCACCCTGAACAAAGAGACAGGAAAGTTAGTGTTTCAGAGTTTGAGACACTCTGTTTACTAGAAAACCTTGGACCAAGATTATATTAACTACCTATAACTAAACAACCAAATTCAACTAGGTGTTAAAAACATTTTAGACAGTTGTAACAACAACAATAATAATAATCAGAATACATTCACTCTAATAAGAAATTTAGGCTTAAAACCAACATACAAAGGCACTAAATTGCGGCTCGGGCAGTGGCTGAAGCAAAAACTCGGGTGTGAGAGGAGTTTGGAGAGGCCATGGAAAAAGACTTTTGGACTGCCTCGAAGAGATTCTGGCAAACTGTCAGGCGTCTCAGGAGGGGAAAGCGGTGCTCTACCTGCACTGTGTATAGTGCTGGCGGAGCGCTGCTGACGTCGACTGAGAAAATTGTCAGGCGGTGGAAGGAATACTTCGAGGACCTCCTTAATCCCACTGACACATCTTGCGAAGAGGAAGAAGAGTCTGGGGATGAGGGGAATGACCCGCCAATTACCAGGGACGAGGTCACTGAGGCAGTTAAACAACTCCTTGGTGGCAGAGCCCCTGGTGTTGATGAGGTCCGCCCCGAGTTCCTGAAGGCTCTGGACGTTGTAGGGCTGTCCTGGTTGACACGCCTCTACAACGTTGCATGGAGATCAGGGGCAGTACCCGTGGACTGGCAGACCGAGGTGGTGGTCCCCATCGTTAATAAGGGGGACTGGAGGGTGTGTTTCAACTACAGGGGGATCACACTCCTCAGCCTCCCTGGGAAAGTCTATGCCAGGTTGCTGGAAAGTCGAGTTTGTCCGCTAGTCGAACCTCGGATACAGGAGGAACAATGCGGTTTTCGTCCGGGTCGTGGGGACTTGGAGAAGGCATTCGACCGTGTCCCTTGGGATGTCCTGTGGGAGGTGCTGCGGGAGTATGGGGTGTCTGGCCCATTGCTACGGGCCATTCAATCCCTATACAACCGTTGCAAGAGCTTGGTTCGCATTGCCGGCAATAAGTCGGACTCGTTCCTGGTGGGTGATGGGCTCCGCCCGGGCTGCCCCTTGTCACCGGTTCTGTTCATAATTTTTATGGATAGAATTTCTAGGCGCAGCCAAGTGGCGGAGGGCTTTCGCTTCGGTGGCCTCAGAATCTCATCTCTGATTTTTGCAGATGATGTGGTTCTGTTGGCTTCATCGGGCGAGGGCCTCCAGCTCGCAATGGAACGGTTCGCAGCCGAGTGTGAAGCAGCGGGAATGAGGATCAGCACCTCCAAATCTGAGGCCATGGTTCTCAGCC